AATTTTTGCATATTTGAAATGGCATGGTCAAGGGCTTTTCAAAAATGTATAATTTGTCATTTTTTGGACAAATTTTTTTTTGCAAACATTTTTACTATAAAACTGGATTTTGCGATAAAAAATTCAATTTTCGCAAATTTGCAAATTTTTTTGCAGATTCTAAAAGTAGAGCACAAGAGCTTTCTAATGATGTATCATTTGTCATATTTGGACATAAAACATGGGATTTAGAGGGGGGGGTCAAATTGACCCCCCCCCAGCGTATCCTGGTTTTCAAGTACCCCAGCGGGGATAGGGTTAATTTACAAAAAAAACTTCGACTGAATTGGATTAGAGATGGTTAGAGAACTGTGGTATAATGTGTGGGTATCTTGAATAGACTCATTAATAAGTTTTCATCAAGATTTCATCAATTAAATACATTTTATTCAGCTAAATGTTTAACTTTTCTCTTTAAAAGAGAGAGCTCTATTTAGAAAGTAATATATCTATTCAAAAAAATGAATTGAAAGGATTTCAATCAATTTTATTCATGTTAACATGTCTTATGAGTCGTGGCAAAACTATACAGAGTGGCCCCAAAAAAACATGGATTTAACGTATATTTATAAGAATTTAGTGTGACCAAGCTAAAGCCCCCCAAGTATGTCATTAGAACGGACATTGTTCATACGTTCGGTAGAAACGAACAACCTCTGCTTGTAAAAATATCAAATTAATTTATTTTTTTAATTTAGGAAAAGGAGGAAATGGAGGAACTTCGGAAGAAGAAAAAGTTGTGCACACAGGTCACGCTTTAAATGGGATTTCTAAAAGAGGGACTGTACACGAAATTTCAAGAGACGATCCCAATTTAATGACTGGCATGTCCGAATAAGAACAGCATCCCTTAAACTTTTACCTGAGCATTTATGCGTATAAAAAGGTTCTAGATCAAATTTTTAGATATTATATCATTACGTGTATAAAGGTGAATAAGGTTCATATACAAAAAAAATATTTCAAAATCGAATAATATTTACCTGTTTAAACCAAGGGTTTAAACTAACATACGATTCCACAATCTTGTAAATTCGATTATAAATTAAAAATAACACTATTTACATATATTTACATCTTTAAAAATATACCATGCAGTATAGTACAATATAGTCGGATATAGTACCGTATATACCATGCAGTATAGTACAATATAGTCGGATATAGTACCGTATATACCATGCAGTATAGTAAAATATAGTCTGATATCGCCCGATGTAGTCAGTCTAGTAGGCTAATATAGTCCAAAATAGTCCAAAATATCCCAATACAAAATGTAGCATATTTATATAATTATATAAATATAAACATTGAATACTAATTACAAAACTAAACAGTATATACGTTATTAATCTTACTTTCCATTCTCACCTTCTCATCTTGAATTCCACAAAAAAATCCGGGAACAAATCTTGATCATAAAAATTCGGGTAAAATCAGCTTGGACTCTCGTTTTGAGAGATGTGAACATGCTCAATCTCTTGAACACCTTTGAGTTGTATAACAATGCTTAGTTGTGTTATTTTGTGAATATTATTCTAATACATGAGATAAATTGAAAAAGTATTTAAAATATAAATTGCGAGGGGTGAAGAAATCTACCGATCTGATGCTCAACTTTTTATAAAAATATTACGACATATTTGAAATATTTGACTTTTTTACCTGTTAAAAGATGTTTAAGAATTCCATAATTCATTCATGGAGTTGAAGCTCAGAATAACTTAAAGAAAATCTGAAAAAGAAAACTTGCATGTGTTTCCACTTCCTACCGATATTTTAAACTATGAATTCTGTTAGATTTGTCGAATTTGAACATCAATATAAACCTTTTCATGGAGTCATGTCACATGTGCGGTGCTGCTAAAAAATCTGGCCCGATCGGTTCAGCCGTATTGTCATTGAATACAAACAGACAGACAGACAAGCAAAACATTTATATAAATGTGTCCAATGTTACATCAAAGAGAAAACAATAATATAAAGTAATGAAAAAATATTTTTTCATTAGACAGAGCATGATATTAGATATCTATAATAAATAGAAGTGTTTATGATTTTACATTATTGTCTTGTTACAAAGACATACAGATAGACAAAGAAAATTTTATTTTAGAAAAATTGATTTGATTGATAAACATAATATAAACATAATTGATAATTACACTCGTCACTGAAAGAGTGCAAATACGTTTATCATCATATTTGTGCTCAAACCTAACACTCAAAGTCACGTTTGGAACACAGGCATAGTTTGTAACTTTTGTCCCCTGTAATCTACCCAACCCTCCTTCCTCAATTGCAGAAATGTGCCACAAAAAGAAACATACTTTGGAAAAATTAAGCTGGAGCGCTCTGAAACTTAACATTTTCACAATCCCCTCACGCACCTCTGAACCTTCAGTAAAAGTAAATTTAACCTAAAGTCTGACCCGCGTCAACCTTGTTGCACCGGCTAATCCTATTGAGTGTCTGCTTTATTTACCCGATGTCCAGGCGATACAGTACAAACTGACATTTGGGGAATTTCCCAAATACCCCAAATATCCAGCCATTTGAAAAATTTCCAAAATCTTAAAAATATTCTGCCCTCAAATTTCCCAAATGCCTGGTTATCTGGGAAATTTCCCAAATGCCTAGGTTTTTGGGAAATTTAAGTAAGAATGGATCTTTAGTTTAGCGAACGGTGTTTTCCGTTTTTTTAAAGTTACTATTATTTAACAATTTCTATTTTATGAACGGCGCTAACAAAAGATATTCTGCCAGTAAGGGTTGATTATGCAATTAACGGCATTTTCGTAAACGATTTGTCAAATAGTTAATGGTGCAACCTGTTAACGATTGTTTGCAGTATTGAAAGTTTTAACGGTTTGCCATAAGTCCAAGATTTCCATAAAAAACTTTAACAGTTTATCTTATTAGATTTACGGCACAAACCGTCACCAAATTGCAAAAAAATTCCATCAAATAAATAGGGGGGGGGGGGGGGGACTGAAGACGGAATTTAAAAAGTTTCATGCAATTTTAGTAGAAAAAAGAACGAAGGTTTCCGTTTTTTAAAAACCCATTCGTTTCGTCTTCGTTTTCAACCGTTAATTTTTTTCAAAAACGGCTATAATCCGTTTCGTTAACGATTTGAAAGTTTATGGTTTTTGTAACGGACTCCTACGTTAATTTTGAAAAACCTCCGTTCTTTTAACGGAACTTTGCCAAGCCCTATTGAGAGTATGGTGTATTTGAAACATTGATCATTAATCAAAGGCCTGTAACATCAGGTTGCAGCGAAATAAGGATTAAAAAATCAGAGTTTGTGGCAAAAAATCAATTCCTTTGTTAACATTTGCATTAAATAACCACTGTTTTTACGAGGGTGAGTCTTACATATTCTCTCTTTACAACATCTCATATATCTGTGAATATATTTCTATTCATATTGAAATAATGTATTCAAGTTCTTAACCCGGAATGCTTGAAAATATAATAAATACAATAAATGCAATATTTTTCCATCCTTGGAAAGGTGAAGAATTTTTTATTCATTCAACACAATATAAAATGTCACTATATGGATAAGACATTACAAAAGCTGCTTTATAAAATGGACATTGACGCCGCCTAGACAGAACATAAGTTTTAACATAATTTACATAGGACAATTCAAGGTTTGATATTTCAGAGATTTAGACTAATATTACACACAAAATTTTATTTAAAAACTCAAATTTTCTAATAATTTTATCTTTGCAACCTAACGTCGTGGACCTCAGAAAATTCAAACAAAGAATTTTGTTAAATCAAATAATCTAAGTTTGAAATATCAAAGGTTTACACCATCAGGTTGCAAATATATAGAAATAAAAAAATTTGAGTTTGTGGCAAAACTCAGTTCTTAACTGCAGCTCGAGGGTAGTGTGAGGTGTGGGATTGATTTCTCCCGAATTTCTCCCAAATTTCACCGAATCAAATCCCAATAAAATTCCAAATGTGTGGACAAGTACCAAGAATTTCTTCACATAACTGTATTAAACATTTTGGATTGGAGATAATTTCTCTACTTTTGTTTCCTGCGATGTAAAAATTCTAGTTATATATTTCTAGATGGTTTAAGCTGGTGGGGAATCCTTCTCCTAACTCTTGCAATTGTAATCTTCATTTTCATCATTGTCAAGTGCTGCGTAGAATTTCAGGTATGGCTATTTGAGCTAGATTACGTGATACTAATAGTAGACTTTTGTTCAAGCTATACGTATTACGTAAAATCACTGTTTAGCTTTACTGAATACATTGGACTGCGTTTAATTATACCCTTAAGCTACGTAGAGTCATGGTTAAGTTGAAATATATTCAAATTACATAGGGTATATATAAGCTTTGTTACAGGGGCGTACGAGAGCATTTGTGTGTGGGGGGGGGGCACAAAAAAATGTTGTGCCTCCCTTGGCAACATTGCTTCTTTTTTGAAAAATATTGATACATTTTTTAACTATGTAAACTATTCGATCACATACACACTTCCATATTACAAGTGTTAGTAAATTAGTTATGTATACTAATGTAAGCTTCAATGGTTGAAAAATAGAGATGGAAACGTTTCTTTGAAAACATCTATATTTTCATGGGATCCACACATATTGCTCTATAAATTATGATATCAAATACATATTTACACTGAAGGCAGTATTGATTAAAGCTTTTTTAATGAAACTTTTTTAGTAATGCGTAATTTCAAGTGACCCTCCATTTATAGAGTTGAATGTCTGATGTACTTTTAAAACCTTCATTTCTCCAACGTTTTTGAAACAAGAAATGCATGTGCCACTTTTGTAGAGAAACAACAAATAAAAATAATCAGTTTATAGAATGGGGAACATGGATGTTTAATGCAATACTTGATCAGACAAAGCTTTGAAGGGTATTGTTTTGAATCAGAATATAATCTATTACTTTTCTTAATCTTTTAGTTTGGATGAGTGCACTGCAATGCAATAGAATTTAGATTGACTGAGGAAGGGAAATGCACGTAGATGCAATACTAAAAGAGCCCTGCCCCCATTGGTGCCCCCCTCAGGTTGGGGCACGCGTAGTGGGGCTGGAATGTCAGCCCCCCCCCCCCCTCGTACGCCCCTCTGCTTTGTTAGATAGACTTTAGCGTCGAACGAAGAACTGAAGTCGCGTAGAATCAAAATTGAAGTCGTTTAAAGTACCCAATGTATAATTTAAGCTCAGCTACGCATAATTACATTTCAGCTTATAGTAGCGTTCTAGTAAACTACAGTGGTAGGCGATTATATCAATACAAAAAACGACGTTTGATTTATGTTTTGATTGTTTACAGATTTTTGTCGAATTTCAGGCTTACAAGTAATCAAAGAGAAACTTTCTTTATTGGCAGCTTCTCTTTGTTTCCGTGTTTCTGTGTATCCATGCTGTTTAAAAGCTTGATATAAATCGAAATTGAAATCAAAAGTCGTCTGACACTGTATAAAGTAGCTACAAAGAATTGAAGTTTTGCTTAGTAGCATTTCATTATTTATTTTTAGCTTGTAGCAATTCATTTTTCATTTTTAGCTTGTAGCAATTCATTATTTATCTCTCTCATAGTTTGTACTTGTAGTAATTCATCATTCATTTTTATCTTCTAGCAATTCATTATTCATCTGATAGCTTGTAGCAATTCATTATTCATTTTTAGCTTGTAGCAATTCATTATTAATCTTATAGCTTGTAGCAGTTTATTATCCATCTTATAGTTTGTAGCAATTAATTTATCATTTTTAGCTTGTAGCAATTCATTATTCATCTTATAGCTTGTTGCAATTTATTATTCATTTTTAGCTTGTAGCAATTCAATATTCATCTAATAACTTTTAGCAATTCATTATTAATTTTTAGCTTGTAGCAATTCATTATTCATCTCATAGCGTGTACTTTTAGTAATTCATTACTCTTTTGAAGCTTGTAGCCATTCATTATTCATCTCATAGTTTGTAGCAATTCATTATCCATCTTATAGCTTGTAGCAATTCAAAATTCATTTTTAGCTTGTAGCAATTCATTATTCATCCTATAGCTGGTAGCAATTCATTATTCATTTAAAGCTTGTAGTAATTCATTATTCATCTTATAGCTTGTAGCAATTCACTATTCATTTTTAGCTTGTAGCAATTCAATATTAATATTATAGCTTTTTAGTACTTTTAGTAATTCATTACTCTTTTGAAGCTTGTAGCCATTCATTATTCATCTCATAGGTTGTAGCAATTCATTATCCATCTTATAGCTTGTAGCAATTCAAAATTCATTTTTATCTTCTAGCAATTCATTATTCATCTGATAGCTTGTAGCAATTCATCATTCATTTTTAAATTGTAGCAATTCATTATTCATCTTATAGCTTGTAGCAATTCATTATTCGTCTTATAGCTTGTAGCATTTCATTATTCATTTTTAGCTTGTAGCAATTCATTATCCATCTTATAGCTTGTAGCAATTTATTATTCATTTTTAGCTTGTAGCAATTCATTATCCATCTTATAGCTTGTAGCAATTTATTATTCATTTTTAGCTTGTAGCAATTCATTATTAATCTTATAGCTTGTAGCAATTTATTATCCATCTTATAGTTTGTAGCAATTAATTTATCATTTTTAGCTTGTAGCAATTCATTATTCATCTTATAGCTTGTTGCAATTTATTATTCATTTTTAGCTAGATAGAATTGTATTTCACAAAATCTAAAAAATATCTTAAATTCTATTTTGTATTTACTCTCGACAAATGATTCTCCTAAAACAATCTAAGTTTTCGAATCAATTCTAAGAGAAAAGAAATTCTTCAAACTTTTTACATTTCTATTCTTCAATCAGATAAATCAGCATTTTGTTAAAACAAACCCTTTTTTTAGGATATATCAACGTTTTATATAAGCATATATGTAGCTGTTTGATTGTTTTTATTCAACAAACCTCAAATCATATAAACCGGTTATATACACTTTACAGGGTGTCTGGGAAAAAGGGTTTACAGAACCGTTTGTAATCAGATTTTCAAGATTGAAACCATATTTGAAATCTACGTACAATTTCCGATTCGAGTCTAATTTTAGGCTTGTAGATCTAAAAATGACAATTTTAGACTCCTTAAGTGTCCAACTAGAGCTAGTGAGCAAAGATAGTTAATTGCAATTGCGTATACTTTGCGTACATATTGAAAGCAGTTCTCTCCGGGTGGAATTTGTAAAAAAGAATATATGCATGAGTGCTTGTCTAGTATCCGAGGAGGTTAAAAGCATTAAACTTTGATAATGTTGATAATTCAAATAATAGTTTCCTGTGACCAGAATATTTCATTGATTTTTTATGTGAAAGATGGATCCCATGTCAGGCTTCGACATCAAGCTTGTGTTTACATTACCGCCCAGAGACAGTACACTGCAGTACAAAAGATGCGTACACCTCTGAAATAATTCTCCTTGGGAGTGAGTAAAATTGGTAAAAATAAAGACAAAGGGTCTTTAGACCTGTTTGTAATCGGATTGTTAAGATTGAGACCATTTTTGTTATCTACGTACAATTTCCGAGTCAATGAGCCCAATTTTAGGCTCATACAGAGCGTCCCATATCATATTAGATTATCTCCAATCTTTAACGCCAAAATAAACCCTTTATACTCTAAAAACTTATCATTTTCTGCAAGAAAATTCTTATATAAGCCTTATGTTATTTTTCAAAATGATCCACTCTAATGATATTTTCTAATTAGTCTCGAAAATCGTAATTTAGACCTGTTCTCGGTCTAATATGATGTGGGACACCCTGTAGTTAAAAAAGAAATTAAAGAACTATTTGCTGAAATTCTTCCAAATTGTTTAGTATAATATAAACAAGGTTTCCTTAAAGAAAATCCGCAGTTTGAGTAAAATTTTGTAGTTTTGCTTTAAATTAGTATTTCGCCCCAAAAAATGGAAAGTTTAGGTTCAGGTTATAATTCTGGAGGACAATAGGTTATCCTAAAAGTTGGAAAAATAACTTTAGGATCACTTATTATTCTCCAATTGACTTTTTTTACTGAAATACAAATGTTGTCACAATTAACAAGTTATACAATAACGAATTAAACAAATTTAACTACGACCTAATACAATGAAATATAAAAAAATCAAAAAAATTAATTGCAACTACAGAAGAATGTCTTCGCATAGAATTAAACCTTTGCCACAAAGTAAAATTTTGTAATACCTATTGTTAACCTTTGATATTTCAAACTAAAGAATTCTGTGAGACCAAATAAATATCAAATTGAAATATCAAAGGTTTTCACCATCAAGTTTCACAGATAAAGGGACTAGAAAATCAGAGTTTGTGACAAAGACTTAATTCCTTTATCATCTGACAGAAACTTTTGTTTTTGGTATTTCTTTGCTGCAAGAACTTTGATATTTCAAACTTAAATCTGATCTAACAGAGTTTATAGTTTGAAATAGGCTGCGACATTGGGTTACAAAGATATAGGAATAAAAAAAATCAGAGTTTGTGAGAAAGACGCAATTCCATAACATAAAATAACATGTGTTATCCACATGTTTACTGCCACAAACTCAAATTTTCTAATTATCAGATCTAACAGAATTTATAGTTTGAAAAATCTAAAGTTTACAAATAAAGAGGAAATAAAAAAGTTAGAGTTTGGGATAAAGGCTAAATTCCATTTGAAAAAAGAGTAAGGATCCAACTATGATCCAACTATGATCCAACTATGATCCAACTATGATCCAACTATGATCCAACTATGATCCAACTATGATCCAACTATGATCCAACTTGTGAAATTGATGGAAATTGTATTCCTTCTCAATTTGTTTGACTCTTGCCTACTGACTGGTCGAGATTGCATTCATGGACTAATCCTCAAAACTTTTAAAAGTTTTTTCTCCGGATTCACATAATTCTTCCAACCAAAGGAACTTAGTTTTTGGCACAAACTCCGATAATATAGTAGACCGTGGATATTTTAAACTATAAATTCTGTAAGATCAAAAATATTGTTTTGAGTGTGCAATTTCAACGGTTTAAACAATCAGGTTACAAAGATATAGGCATTAAAAAATCTAAATTGTGTTCCTCTGAAACAAATTTTTGCTTCCTTTTCCATAACAAAACTTCTGGCATCTATGTTCTATAAAATAATTTTAAGACAATTTGCTGTAACTAAACCATGAACATCTTGAACATAATAAATAAAATAAAATGAACCGATACAAATGTCTTAAAGGGAGTGTTCGCGAAAAATGAAAGGGGGTGATGTTTGTCTTCCATTAAGCATACCGTTTTCAAAGAACCAGCAAAACAGTTTTTTTAATGTCTTAATTGTAACTTGGACATGACATACAATGATTTCCTATTTCAATTTTTGATTTCTACTTTATTTTCAAGAAGTTTTAATGCACATGGAAAGAAAGAGAAGTTTTCTTTGTTAGTTTTAATCTGAAAAAAAGCTTTTAGAAATCTTAACTATATTACGAAAAAATATCAAATTCCGCTCCATTTATATATTTATTGGCTATTTTTCCATATTTCATGAACATTACAGCATTTAAAAGGTTCAACTAGAACATACTACAAAGAAAGGGCTTTTCATAACATTTTTAATGTTAAAAATCAATTCTTCAGATGAAAAGACATGTATGTAAAATTATTGTATTTCATACTTATTGGACTATTCAACGTTATAGCTTTGACGTTATATAACGCGGCCATCTCTAGATGAACCCAGATTAAAGAAAAACATCAGACAAAGACAAGATAAATTATCTATTTAACGTTATAGCTTTGAATTTATATAACGCGGCCATCTCTAGATGAACCCAGATTAAAGAAAAACATCAGACAAAGACAAGATAAATTATCTATTTAACGTTATAGCTTTGACGTTATATAACGCGGCCATCTCTAGATGAACCCAGATTGAAGAAAAACATCAGACAAAGACAAGATAAATTATCTATTTAATTTTATAGCTTTGACGTTATATAACGCGGCCATCTCTAGATGAACCCAGATTAAAGAAAAACATCACACAAAGACAAGATAAATTATTTCCAATATAGAGAAGTACATTATACAAGATTATTTATCAATAAGATGATAAAGGAATATATTGAGTTTAATAAAAATATCTTCTGTATATATTCTTTTCATCGCCGAATTTGTTTCTCACAAAGGCCTAAATGGCATAAAATTTTGCGTGGGACTTAGCCTGACCTTGGGGGTTGAATATGTGTTACGTAAGGTATAAAAATGGGACCAAACATCTTTTTTTAAAACTGTACTGTACTATAATGTACTATATGGTACTTTACTGTATGCTACTGGGAGGAGGAAGGATGGTTTGCAATCTCAGAAGATAATAAATAATAATTGTTCAGGTTAATTACTTGGGAGGAGGGAGGAAGGTTTGCTATCTCAGAAGATAATAAATAATTGTTGTTAAGGATGCTTACTTTGGAGGAGGGAGGAAGGTTTGCTATCTCTGTCTGGATAAGATTAGGATCCAGGATTGGAACTCAGGAGAGCACAGGAGACAGTGTGCTTTCAGGTATATACAAACTACAAAGATTTTGTTCATCTATTGCAGGTATATTTATATATATTACAACATTTAAAAAATTTAGGGCACTTACCACGGGCAGCCGTAGTACATTTGAATTTCTGAGCCGGGTCAACCTTTCCGGTCCCAGTTTGCACTGTACCTAGCTCTATGGACAGGACTAGCTGGTGCAACAAGGTTGACGCGGCCAGACTTTATGCTTCTTATTGAATTTACTTTTACTAAATGGGCAGATTTGCGTGTTACATCTAACAAAATCTTACTTATAAAAGATATGTCAAAGTCTTTGATACCTTTTGTAGACATATTAATAGCAAAAGAAATTGAGTCTTTGTCACAAACTCTGATTTTCTGATCTCTACATCTTTGGAACCCTTGTCGTAGACCTTAGATAGTTCAAACAATGAATTTAAATGAATCAAATAGTCTAAGTTTAGAATATCAAAGGTTTACATCATCAGCTGGCAAAGATATAGATATTAGAAAATTTGAGTTTGTGGCAAAAACTCAATTCCTTTTTGATGCAAAATTGAGCATTCTCGAAAATTTCGCGGATTGCTATATATATATATACATATATACTGTCCGTACTCCGTACCTTAGAATTATAAGAAAAAAATGGCAAAATTAATAAAAACCACTTTTCCTATGACATGTAAAATTTTCCTTTTTTATGCTTTATTTGCGAATAATCCTGTTGAATCTATTAACATATTTGAATTTGACAAACATGCTATAATGAATATTTTTTTCTCACAAATTTTTACTTAGATAAGATAAGATAAAGTTTATTGCTAATATAAATGTATCTCTATACAGATAGAGTTTACAATCACAAAATTGATGATTATATTAACAGTACAAGTATAAAGCAATTAGGTGGAAAATAGCTCTTGGCTGTTTTGATTATTTTTTTCCACCTAATTTTAGTAATAATAACAAAATATTTCAATTAAATAGATTTAAGGAGAACGATTAGAGATCAGGGTGCAAATTTATCATATGCAAAATAGTTTATACATAAATTCGAATAACTAGAGTTTAAAGTAAACATTTTGTGATTTTTTTATTTCAATCTCTAAACCTTTTATTATGGATTGGAAAAGAGTTTTATTTATCTTTTCATTCAATAACAATAACAATAACAATAAGATTTATCCATAACTTTTAAATTCTAAATCTTTATTGACGATCATTGTGCAACTTGTGTATTCAAAACTGGATATTAAAGATAAAGATGTCGATTAAAGGAAGTGTTATATTTCAAAGGACCCTCCACGTTTTTAGATATAATCGATAAGTTACAGGGAACGAATCGTTCGTTTAAAACTTTTAAAACGTTTTGGGTGAAACGTGATTGGGTGAAACGTTATTTGGCGAACTGTTACCACACCAACGAAACAACTATACGATCGTTTTTCTTAAAAACCGATAGTTTCTCGACATTTAATTTCAAATTTTTATTACAGTAGGAAAAGTTTATGAATGTTTTGTTAGATGTGTTTTTAAATCAAAATTACCCCTGGATGTTTTTCGAACAAAAGTGGATTTTATCAATAAGAAAAGGTCGTCGATAACGATCGTTGTCTATCAAAATTGACCAACCTTCGTTAACGAAAACACAAACTACAACTTCGTTTTTTCTTAGTTTTAAAAACAATTGTTTTTTTTAAACGATCGTTTTGTGTTTCGTTTTTCTTCATCGTTAACGCAACGATACGATCTATTTTCAAAAGAGTGAAAACGGTACCCCTTAATAGTCACTTTAAATTACGCTCACAGTCCTTTTATTAGGATTTTATTGAAAGCTAAATTAGAATTATGGAGTTATGAATTCGATTTATATAAAAATATTTTATTGCGAACTTTCATCATATTTCCATTTGATTTTCGCTGAGTCATTCATCTTGCCAAACTACACTTATGTCGTATCTATATATACATCTCTTTATATATTTTGTTATTTCTATTCATTTCCTACTTCAAATAGTCAGATTGGAGGAGGGGTATGAGCAGGACTTGGCAAATTCAGAATGCCGGGGGGGGGGGGGGTCAAATCTCTAATTTTCTTTTTTGTGATGCAAGTCTGTATACGTTCTTGGAAAGCCCTTGGGCTCTACTTCAATAATCTGTAAAAAAATTAAAAATTTGCAAAAATAACATATTTGTTGAAAAATCTTTTTATTAAGCAAAAAAAAGGCGCAAATTGCAACAAATTGTACATTTTGAAAAGCCCTTGACCCAGCGAACTCAAATGTGCAAAAACATTGCAACATTTTTAAAACCTAAATGTGTATTCCAGAAAAACTTAAAATGTGCAAAGTCTCTTTAAAGGAGTCTGTTCAAAAATCTGTGCAACCTGTTTTCTTCTGTTATAGGCTTTCCAAAGAGCTATACAATGTTTGAAATCCGATGACGGAAAGTTGGTCTGAATATAGATTTAGTCTAGTAAAATAATGCATTTATTCAGTATGCCTGAGGATTCAGGCAGTAGTTATAAAAGCCCTGTTTTTAGCCTCAAGTAAGGAGCAGTTGTTAGTTAGAAAAGCCAAAAAATTTGAGCCTCCTAGCTAAAACACCTTTTGAGTTATCGCTAAAGAATGATGGCTTAGAACGTTGCCAGTCCAATAGTTTTCAGATAAGGGATGAGGAAACTTACCAGACTAAAAATAAATACCCTCCTATTAAATTCTTTAAACAGAAAGAATTGGTAAATTACATTTATATCATATTTAAATTTTAATTTGGATTTAGATACTATATTTTAATTTAATTTTAGGGGGTCATTTTTATTTTATTTAGAAAATTAATTTACTCTAAGTGCTTTAGAAATATTTACTTTTTTCAGTGACAATCCAAAGTTTCTGTAAAAAAATTTCTTTATGAAAGGCCCGCTTGTTTTGTTGTTTTTGAGCTTAAATAAACAATTTTGTCATGAAGATTGAAATAAATTAACTGAAAATTGAACATGTTTCATATTTGTTTTCAGAAAACCTATCGAAATATTTCAAATTTTTAAAACAGAAAACTTTTGACGTCTATTCAAGCTAATAAAATTTACTAGCTTTAATAAAAAATTGTAAATTTGTACTCTTCTTTTACTTAAAATTTCGATTTCGACTAGTAAATTTTAACAAGAAAAAGAAATAGTTTAATATTGAGATTTTTAAAAGTGTTTTTTGATGAATTTTGATGAATACGTTTTTGTTTTCTGCAGGCTCCTAAAAAGTTTAATTGTGTGATAGAAAATTTGTTTTGAAAATGTAGACCAGCTGACAAATCATTTGTTAACAAAAGATTGACTTTTCTTTTTTTCAGGCATTCGTTCAGAATCAAAATCTTATTTAATGTTATAATTGCAAACTTGTACAGAGAACACATAATTTCCATTTACTTACAGCGCCGATATAAGGATTCATATCTCTAATTGGATAATGAGATAGCTAGAAAGATAAATGATTGGATCAGGCGCTAATGGACACGGCATACAGGAGAGAACACAAATATAATTTTTAGTCAATTAGGATGTTTTAGTATAACCTCCTAAAAACCTTGATATCAAATATACTTATCAAAGTAAACTAAATCCTTATTATTTCAAGTATAATACAAGTTTTTCCACAAATTCAAATTTGCAAATCACTATATCTTTGCAAACCGATGGTGATAACCTTTTATATTTCAAGCTTAGATTATATCATTTAACAGAATTATAGTTTAAAATATCATAGGTATGCGACATCGAGTTGCAAAGATATGCAAATTTATTACCCTGATATGGTTGCATGATATGATATGAAATCATTTACATATTTAAAATTCAATCTAATGAAAAAGATTTGAGTCTTTGCCACAAGCACTTATGTTTTTAATCCCTTCTTTCCAACCATATGGTGTAGACATGAAATTTTAAGCTATGAATTATGTTAGATAAAATCATCAAAGTTAAAAATATAAAAAGTTTAAACCAGTATAGGTTGCAAAGTATATGGATCAGAAAATTTGAATTTTTGGAAAAAACTCAATTCCTTTACTTTAACATGACGAGCATTTGTTTACTAATGGTCTAATCTCTAGGTATGCTTCTGATCTGACTAACCTGCTTCAGCATGATAGAGTTAAATGTCCCAAATGTGAATCAAGACTCAGGTAAGAAAATAGGAAAATTAAATTTCCTTAAACTCTGATTTTATTATCCATTTATCTTTGCACACAGGATCTCAGGCCTCGGCTAGACATCGTTTTGAGCTGAGATTTTAGTATTGTAGAGAAATTTATATTCAATTTTAAATTTAAACAAATTTAAAGTTGAAAAAAATCTTTATTTGCAAAAAAAACCATTTCGAATTTGTTTAGTTCTTTGGCAAGCTTATACAAATACATGTGGTTTAAAAGTGACCATTTTAACTTTTAAGTATAATTTCTTAGGAATCAAAATGAAGTTAGAATCCATATAAAAGATGAAAATTATGGTAGTCAATAAACGACAATGAGCGAAATGCATTGCCTGCAATGGAGGACATTTGAAGGGAGTGTTCGCGAAAAATGAAAGGGGGTATAGGCTTACGGCGAAAAATAAGTGCTTTTGATCGCTACTAATCTTACTTCTATCTGTTGCGTCTGTATATTAGTTAAAAACGACTTATACTGAAGAACGTAACGTCCATACAAATTGAGAAAGTTGCAACATACGACTCGGATCGTTAAAAAATCCATTTAATTTCAAACTAATCAATCAGATATTACAACCTACAGTCATCGATTATTTTTCGACGCAATTCTATATAGTCAATATTTAGTAATATTTTTTATTTGATTTGCTCTCGATGCTCCGAATGATTTCACGTGGCAGAGACAAATAGCGGAAAAAACGTCGTTTTAAGTGCATTGCACATAAACAAATAACAAATATTATGAAACATTAACTATATTCGAATGCGTCTAAAAATAATCGATGTCGAAAGATTTAAATATTCCAATGATTTGTTTGATATTAAATTGATTTTTCTACGATCCTAGTCGTATGTTGCAACTTTCTCCATTTTTATGGACACTAAGTTCTTCGGTTTACGTCGTTTTAAACAATTTTCTCCTTACAGACGCAACAGATGGAATTTAAGATTAGTAGCGATCAAAATCGATTGTTTATCGCCCAAAGCCTATACCCCCTTTCATTTTTCGTGGACACTCCCTTTAAGATAAACATATCGCAACAACAACTTATTTATTTAATTAAAGTGTTAAACACATTTTTTGAAGTAGAATTAATACTAATAGATAGCTTAAAAGAGACTTAACATTTCCGTGAAAATTTTATTTTGTAAATGGTATTGGCGCGATTCCGTCGCTCTTAAGAACATGCTTTAGATCTTAGCTTTTCAAATCTAGCCTTATTTTTACTACTTCAAATTCTAATTTTTCAATCCCTATAACTTTGCAATCTAATGATGTAAACCTTTCATATTTTAAAATTTGGCCTATGATTTTAGGTTACAAAGATATTAGAATTAGAAAATTGGAGTTATATGGTTAATAACTCCTAACTACTGGATTGGAGTTATATGGTTGTATTGAGAGGAATCAGTTTCAGGTTTCCTTTCAATAAGACCCAGACAATAAGTTTTGTCGATGGGTAGACTTGTGAATATAATGAGCAAGTTTTCTTTATAGATGTTTATTTTCATTCTTCTCATTTACACAAACACTCGTCTAAAAGCACATAACTGAAATATACAAAATAGTTAAAATATATATCTTGATAAATATGCATACACTTATGCATACAATCTAAAGGTTATTTTTGGAGTTATATGGTTAATAACTCCTAACTACCGGATTGGAGTTATATGGTTAATAACTCCTAACTACCGGATTGCAGATTTATGTGATTTTGTTCGAGCAAGGAAGACGATATCTGGTCGCTACCATAATTTGATATTTTTATAGATTGTGGCCGGAGGGCAGAGGACCATCTTTCTCTTGTGATTCAGGTAATACATTTTTTTAAAACATTTTTAACGGGGCTATAGATGTCATTTTAATTGACCTTACACTAATGTGTATGTTAACCGGTAATGTTACATCGTCTATACGCAACATCCCCCTACTGAACTTCCGACCTACTAACTTTCCGACCTACTGCAAAATCGGACCTACGTCAGCTGTTTATTTTTGTATTATTTGAGGGTTAGGTTAGGTTAAGACAATTTCTGGGCCGAGCGCTGCACATAGGACAAGCTAGGGGGCCGAGTGCCGCGGCTAGGACATGCTAGGGGGCCGGGCGCTGCGGCAACAAGTCCATATAGTACCTGTAAAACCAAGTGCTGGTAGGTCGGATGTGTAGTATAGCGGATTTGGCGTAGGTCAGAAATGAAGTATAGTGGATTTGCGTAGGTCAAAAAATACACCCCCATGTTAACCCCCTTATCTTCTCTCATTGTTGCTTGGATAAAGGTTTAAAGGGACCAATTGTGAATCTGGCCTCCATGCCGAAAATGGCGGGAAAACTTGAAACCACGCTTAATTACAGTCCCTTTAATCTTTAACTGATATCCTATTCTTCTTTATTTTCTAAAATCTGCATTTGAAGAAAGAAAAACTAAAAAATATGTGAAAACACCAAAGACAAATTGAAAAATTGAAAAAAAAATAAAAAATAACATAAAATTTGGCACACTCACCATCTATTTTATTCTATAGTTTCAGATTAGGAATGCACAAAACTGTTTTCTAAATATAAAAAATACTAGACTTTAAGGCTCCTTGTATTTCAGCTTTAAATTGTGACTCTATCTGGAAGCATTTACTCTTCGTTAATTTTCAAAATTCAAAATTTACGAAAATCAATTTGTTTTGAGACAAATTTTGAAATGCTAAGCATGAATAAACCTTTACTGGGTTCATGTGAGGTCCCACAAAATATTTTGGCCCGATTTGTTCAGCCGTTTTGACGTTTATTGGATTCAAACAAGCAAACACCCAAACATCAGTCAAGCAAAGCTTAGAAGTTAGAAGATGAGAGTTTGTATTTAATATATTTAACCACAAGCATCCAATTTTTATTTGAAGAAAATATTCGAGGATTTGTAAGGATTTACTCAAATTCAATACAAAACATATTTTACATTTAATTCTGACTTTATGACATACAAGATTTACATTCGATGATTTTTCTTTAGTTTATAAAGTGTTTTTCTGGAATTATGATTTCATTGTTTAACTCAAGGTTGCATACAGATAATCTGGAATGAAAATAACTGGAAATGTCGGCTTCATAGCAATCTCTTAAAATCTTTCATATGACGCAACCGCTAATTTGCAATTGACAACGTTGCTGGTGTGAAAGATGCCCTCAACATTTACAGTTGTCAAGTGATAAGTGGAGAAAAATCTTCTCTCCTCTCACCAGCAACTTTGTGACTTTATCCTCTGCAAATAATCAGTTACGTCATATGAGAATTTTGAGTCTCCATTGCGCCATGAAAACGAGATTTCCAGTTCATTTGAGCGCATCCTGATTATCTAACTGTACAACTTTGCTTAAAAGTAAGTGAGGTTTGCCTATTAATCCCGTTTTCTGATCGATTGGCGTAAACTCTAGAGCCGGCCTTTTGTGGAATTGTTATTCTATACTTTTGGTGGATCGTCTAGCATTCCAGAATAATGAAGCATATAAGGTTCTTTAGATTTATTTTTGACGTAACATAGATAATAAATTCCAAAAACATTAGATATTTTAGCGTGCGTTCATATTTTTGCGTTTCCATTTGATTATTTTATTTTTCCTTTTCGTGCTAGGATTTAGAATTATATTCTCAAAAGAAGTCAAAGAACTTTTGATGTGAACTGGGAGAACTCAACAGAAACAAATTTTAAATTATGAAAAGGATATATTTTTAAATAAGAAGGATTCATTTTTGGCAGTATGTATCATTCTGTATTTTTGTGTATTATAGTATAGTTGTATCAATTGCAAAAAGGTTTGTACCCTGGTGGTATAAGGTTGGAAAAGGTTTAGACCCTGGTGGTATAAGGTTGAAAAAGGTTTAAACCCTGGTGGTATAAGGTGGAAAAGGTTTATACCCTGGTGCTATAAGGTTGGAAAAGGTTTAGACCCTGGTGGTATAAGGTAGGAAAAGGTTTATACCCTGGTGGTATAAGGTGGAAAAGGTTTAAACCCTGGTGGTATAAGGTAGGAAAAGGTTTATACCCTGGTGGTATAGGGTAGGAAAAGGTTTAGACCCTGGTGGTATAAGGTGGAAAAGGTTGATACCCTGGTGGTATAATGGTGGTAAAGGTTTATACCCTGGTGGTATAAGGTGGAAAAGGTGTATACCCTGGTGGTTTAAGGTGGGAAAAGGTTTATATCCTGGTGGTATAAGGTTGGAAAAGGTTTAGACCCTGGTGGTATAAGTTTGGAAAAGGTTTACACCCTGGTGGTATAAGGTTGGAAAAGGTTTACACCCTGGTGGTAAAAGGTTGGAAAAGGTTTAGACCCTTGTGGTATAAGAGGGGAAAAGGTTTAGACCCCTAGTGGTATAAGGTTGGAAAAAGTTTATACCCTGGTGGTATAAGGTTGGAAAAGGTTTAGACCCTGCTGGTATGAGGTTGGAATAGGTTTGAACCCTGGTGGTATAAGGTTGGAAAAGGTTTAGACCCTGGTGGTATAAGGTGGAAAAGGTTTATACACTGGTGATATAAGGTTGGAAAAGGTTTAGACCCTGGTGATATAAGGTAGGAAAAGGTTTAGACCCCTGGTGGTATAAGGTTGGAAAAGGTTTATACCCTGGTGGTATAAGGTGGGAAAGGTTTAGACCATGGTTGTATGAGATTGGAAAAGATTTAGACCCTGGTGGTATAAGGTGGGAAAGGTTTAGACCATGGCTGTATAAGATTGGAAAAGGTTTAGACCCTGGTGGTATAAGGTGGGAAAAGAATATATATTCTCTATAGTTCTGTAGTCTCTATAAGTCTCTTTTAGTCTCTGTAGTCTCCAGTCTCCGGAGTGATTATCCTGAATTGTAGAGATAACTATTCATATAATCTCATGGGTGTTGGGTTCTCTCTATTAGATAAAATATTTTTACTTTTTACAGAAAATGCTTAAAGGGAGTCTCTATTAAAAGATGGTCTGATTCACAACTGTACCCTTAAAAAACTTTCCCGATCAATTTTAAAGTTTAAATTCTGTTGAAGTTTATCAGAGTTAATGATTGAACTTGAACAAGTTCTAACCCAATATTCTTGCCATGAGTATGATAAAGTTGGATCAAACTTGTATTTATTTTTATCCTTTATATTTAAACTTCTTAACTCATGGGAATCGAAAAGTTGGTGAAGCATTCTTTGTAAAAGGCAGAGCTGCAACTTTTAAATTACAAGAATTTCGCAAAGCTTCCTTTTCTGATATAGGAGCGGCTGAACCCGATCGGGCAAATATTATTTGTAGGTCCTTACATGAAAAAGTTGGTTAAATTTTAAATCTAAAGTAACATAAGAAGAAAGCCCCTGAAAATAATGAGACGTAGACAGGGAAACATTATTTGTCTTAACGAAATGTATTTTAGTTTATCATTTTACAACATATCACTTATTTCTTATTGCCTCACAGTCTTCGTATAAGCATTCACCACAAATTTCGAAATTTCCTCTTTACAAGAATTGCAAAACCTGGGTAGAGATGGGTGCGGTCGGCTTTTTTTTCATTTTGTTCGTTTATCGCTCATGAACGATCCAATTCGTTTTTCTTTCAATCGCTCAAAAAAAAATATTGTTCGTTCTCAGAGTTTTGGTTCGTTTTCTCTCTATTTCGATCGTTGTTTTCACTAAAAAATTAGTTTAGTAAAATCGTAGTTCAATTACATTGATTTCGTTACGTTTTTTAGTGAAAAACTATGGTTATTTAAAAAGTTAGTTTGAAATAATTGTTCATTCAGCAAAAACATGATTGTTTTTCAAAGTCGTTCGGAAATTTTTTTTTTTTTTAGTAAAAAAAACATACGATTTTTAATCGTTCATTATTGTTTTTATTTTTGTTCGTTTCTAAATGATCCAAGTTGTTCGTCCGCGAAAAACTTTGTTCGTTCTCAAAAATTTCGTTTGTTCGCGAAAACGATGCACATGTACATGCACAGACCTAATTGATAATTAAAAGTATGAAAAAAGGTTTACACGATCAGGTTTCAAAGAAATACGAATCAGATTTTGTGGCATAGTTTCTTTCTACTTTACAATATATCATTTATTCCTCCTTGTTTCAGACGACTCACTGGAGTGTGCAGATAAAGGAAGTCAGATAAAAAACAATGGTAAAAACAGGTGACATTTTATATTTTCTTACAACAACAACAACAACAACAAGAGGGCCGGGCACAAGACCTGTCACTCTCTGGAAAACGAAAACTTTTCAACTTTTACCAATTTTGTCCAATTGATATTTTAATTTTTCAAATTTAGTTTTAAAAATCTTCTTTTCAATGTGCGATTTTATCTTGATGTAAGTTTGAATGGTACACGTCAATTAACTCTGAACCTAGATTTACAAAAGCAATTCTGCTTAACATTTTGGGATATGGTTTCACCTAAGAAACAGTCCAAATCTTTGTATGATTCGAACTGTACGGTACTGTCAGGTCTAGTGTACCCAATGTGTAGTGGACCCAGCACGGTTTTGCACAAATATAGACTGCACTGACATCAGGTTGAAAAGATAAAAGGATTTTATAATTATAATTTGAGAGAAAATTTTAGTTACTTACTTTCTTTTAAATATGTTCTTAGTCTTTTTTAAGTCCAGCTGAACCAACTACTGCTGGTTCAAATCCTGAATCACCGATTCAAAGTTAAACATTCCTGAGGATTTGAATCGTTGATTAAGGATTTGAACCGGTGATATAGTAGTTGAGCGACCTATCTAATGCATTAAAGTCGGTCCCAGGTATGTTTTGAAATAAAATATTTGTTTAAGAAAATTGATTTTTAAAATTTGTCTTCTTTTCATGAGATTTATCGAATCAGAGCTGAGGCCGAATTTAAAGAATTTGAGCCGCAGCTTAAATTTAAGACGCCGCTCAAATATGTGTGATTCCACTTAAATTGTATTTAATGATTCAGCCGACGCTCAATTGAAACCGGCTTTTGGCAGATTTGAGACGGGGCTCAAATTCATTAAATTCAGACTCTGAAGGGAGTGTTGGCAAAAAAAGTCTTAGGAAAGTTTCTAAAAATCATAAATTCTTCCAGAAACACTTTTATCCTTAAACGAATTGGGTCTTTGGCACAAATTCCGATTTTCTAATGCCAATATCTTTGCAATCAATGTGACGTAAGATATTTAAAACAAGGAACTATCAAATAATCCATGTTTGAAATATCAAAGATGTACGCCTTCAAGTTGCAAAAGTATAGATTTTCTTAAACTATATTTTTGCAGCTGGATTATTCATACTTTGACTATCATATGAAGCAGAATTTAGAGTTTGAAATGTTAAACATCAGGTTGCAAAGATATTTATCAGGATTGGTTAATCAGAGTTTTCTCAGAGTAATCAGTTTCTTTGTATATACTCAATATGAATTTTTAATTGTTGTTAAAAACACACAAACAATAAAAAATCAACAATTTAAAAAAATTCTATTCATATAAAAACCCAAATATCCCAATTTATAAAGACACTTTTTTCGTAGACACTCCATAAAATAAGGGTTAAAAAAATGTAGATTTAAAATTGTTTTCCTGAACTTTTTGAATAAACAGATTTTGTTTTACTCCGTTCCTAAAAAGTTCTATTCCTTTATGGTTAAACTTTGTAAAAATTAAATATTTGACCAACTTTTTAAAACTTGAAATTTAATCCTCATGAATTTTATAAAACAAGGGAAATAAAGTTAAAATTTGCATAATCACAAAGTTGCATTAAAAAAATTCTCCTTTCTTAATTTTTTTTCAAAATCAATTTTTGAATTTTGACCATTTGATTCTCATTAAAGATTTTTTACGAAAGTCACAATCTTATTTGAAATAAATTTTTTATTACAAAAACTCCATGAGTTTCTAAATTTGAATTTAATGGTTTGATTTGAATTTAAACAAAAAAATATTTCTATTTACCTGAATTTCTTTTATGAACGACTATAGAGCATATCTTTTTAAAGGGTCCGTCCCCACGTAACTTTAAGTAACTTTAATTATTTTAGTTTTTTATCTAAATATTGATTATTTTCTATTATGGTATTACAAGTGACGTGCAGATTTATTCTGCAGCGAAAAGAAAAGGAAAAATATTTTTGTTTTAAATCTTAGAATTAGGCATGAAATTTTTAAAATTTAGGATCACTTAGAAATACGTAGACAGTCCCTTTAAGTAGTTGAATTTAATTTGAAATTTTTAATTAGTTTTTCGTAGAAATTTTATAAAAGTTGAATATATAAATTAAAAGTAAAAATCATCGCTCTTCTGTTTTTTTTTCAATTGAAAATATTAAATTTATACAGTTCTACCTCTGAATTATTTAGACAATACATCAACGAGTAATTTTTTTATTTTTTTTTTATTTGTTCTTAAAGAACAATGGCGCATACCTGTCTATTCAGCATTTACCTATATATGAGGATGTTTAGCTTGCATAAATACAAAATACTACGTAGTGCACACAGGCTTTTGATAAAAACGTCTTTTAGTAATCTTCTTTATTTCATATTTTATTTGGTTTCTATTAAACGTGGCCGCTAGGTGTCTCTGCTCTCGATGTTTCAGGGGTTCCAAATAGTTTCATGAAAAGGATTATCCAACTAGCATACCAGGTTGTGTATAAAACGTGCTGGGTCGACTACACAAGAGTTTCATAAGAGGGTTTAATCCAACTAGCCTGCAGGTTGTGTATAAAACGTGCTAGGTCGAGTACATAAGAGTTTCATAAGAAGGTTTAATCCAAGTAGCCTGCAGGTTGAGTATAAAACGTGCTGGGTCGAGTACACAAGAGTTTCATAAAAAGGTTTAATCCAAGTAGCCTACAGTTTGTTTATAAAATGTGCTGGGTCGAGTAGACAAGAGTTTCATAAGAAGGTTTAATCCAAGTAGCCTGCAGGTTGTATATACAACGTGATGGGTCGAGTACACAAGAGTTTCATAAGAAGGTTTAATCCAAGTAGCCTGCAGGTTGTGTATAACACGTGCTGGGTCGAGTACACAAGAGTTTCATGAAAAGGTTTAATCCAACTAGCCTGCAGGTTGTGCATAACACGTGATGGGTCGAGTACACAAGTGTTTCATAAGAAGATTTTTCCAAGTAGCCTACCAGGTTAAGTGTATAAAACGTGCTGGGTCGAGTACACAAGAGTTTCATGAAAAGGTGTTTAATCCAACCAGCCTGCAGGTTGTGTATAAAACGTGCTGGGTTGAGTACACAAGAGTTTCATTAAAAGGTTTAATACAACTACCCTCCAGGTTGTGTATAAAATGTGCTGGGTCGAATACACAATAAGTAGCATAACTCGCCGGGGAGAGGGAATGCATAAATGGTATAATTACAAATTAGACAGGTAAAGCCTTGTACCAGTTATTTGGATCATGGCATCATCGGAACAGGGTTAGGGTACCGTTGTGAATCGTTTCTACCTATTATAAAACTATTATATAACCAGAAAGAAATATAAAAATAGGTTTTATTGTAGGTACAACTGCTTCCTGTGTGACTATGATCTGTGTGAATCTTGTGTTCAAAAAATGTCGGAAAAATTGGAGAAAAGGAAAAATTCTTCTGAAATTAATAAATTTAATTTCTTGTTTCATATTATCATTATTTGTTACTAATCAAACATCTAAAAATTATATTTGAATAAAAAATGACCAATGAGAATGGGAAAAAAATAAAAAACAATCCTTAATCAAAATGAGAATTAGAATTAATTATCAGGGGGATGTACAGGAATTAATTATCAGGGGCGTGTGCAAGAATTTGCTCAGTAAGTGGGGATTAAAGGAACTGAGTCTTTTTCACAAAATCAAATATTCTAATGCCAATATCTTTGCAACCTGATGGTGTAAACCTTTGATATTTCAAATTAAGATTATTTGATCAAACAGAATTACTAGTTTGAAATATCTAAGGTCCACAACTTTGGATTGCTCAAATATAAGGATTAGAAAACCAGAGATTCTGGCAAAGCCGCAATTAATTTGTTTTCTTTGGTGAAATCCTTCTGTAGTCAATATATATGTCAATGAACCGATGGGTGGGGATGGGACTTAGCTCCAATATCCCCCCCTCCAATATTTTTGCCTTTGGACTGGCTATAGTTAAATTGATCTAATTATTACCAGAAGAAAACACTCTAGTGATTGTATATCTGTACACTGGTCAAATCATGGATCATCTAGAAAATCATCCAGTAGTGAGTTTGCTCAGGTAATGATAGAGATTCTAGAGTTTATCAGATCATAGAGATCCTAGAGTTTACTCAGATCATAGAGATCATATAGATCATAGAGTTTACTCAGATCATAGAGATCATAGAGTTTACTCAGATCTTAGAGATCCTAGAGTTTACTCAGATCATAGAGATCCTAGTGATTAACTTGGTAATCATAGAGATCCTAGAATTTACTCAGATAATTATCTAGAGATCCTAGAGTTTACTCAGGTCATCATCTAGAGATCCTAGAGTTTAATCAGGTAATCATCCAGAGATCCTAGAGTTTATTCAGATCATAGAAATCCTGGTAATTACCTTTGTAATCATAGAGCTCCTAGAGTTTACTCAGGTAATCATCTAGAGATCCTAGAGTTTAATCAGGTAATCATCCAGAGATCCTTGAGTTTATTCGGATCATAGAGATCCTAGAGATCCTAAAGTTTACTCAGATCATAGAGATCCTAGAGATTCTAGAGTTTACTCAGATCCTAAAGATCATAGAGATCTTAGAGATCCTAGAGATCATAGAGATCCTAGAGTTTACTCAGATTATAGAGATCCTAAAGATCCTAGAGTTTATTTAGATAATAAAGATCCTAGAGATCCTAGAGTTTACTTAGATCATAGAGATCATAGAGATCCTATAATTTACTCAGGTCATAGAGATCCTAGAAATCTTAGAGTTTACTCAGATTATAGAGATCCTAGAGATCCTAGAGTTTACTCAGGTCATAGAGATCATAGAGATCCTAGAGTATACTCAGATCATATACCTTACAAAGTTTGCTGAGATCATAGAGGTCATAGAGTATACTTAGATGCGTATTATGATTATCATTCTCTTTTCTGAAAATACTTTGTTAAATCTGTAGATTTTTAGTATAATAATAACAATTATTTTTCCCACACCATTCGAATTTTACTTGCTCACAAATTAGAATAAGCTATATACACAGACAAAAAATCTAACTTTATAATACCTTATCTTATTTCTACTTGATTTTTAGCAAGTTTCGGCTGAATTGCTCAGAAAGTGTTCAAAGGTATTGTAAGAGCACTAAAAATAAAAATTGTAAATTCACGGGAGAAAAAAAATAGACCGATTCATAAATAAATCTAGAAAAAATTAGACCGATTCATAAATAAATCTGAAAAAATAGTCCCTTTCATGAATGCAAATCTAGAAAAAAAATAGTCCGATTCATAAATAAATCTAGAAACAAATAGTCGATTTGTGAATTCAATGTATAATAAAAATGGCCGATTTATGAATGCAAATCTTGAAAAAAATAACCATTCATGAATGCAAATCTAAAAAAAGTCCATTAAAGAATGCAAATATAAAAAATAGACCGATTCATAAATACAAATCTAAAATAAACTGAAATACAACATCATATGAAAAATAGACCGATTCATGAATACAAATCTAGAATAAACTGAAATACAACATCATATGAAAAAGTCTTTATTTATTTCCCATGCGTTCTTAATCGCACTGTAGAGATAGATTTGCATGACTGAGAATATGATAGTGAACATAGAAATATAGATTTATGTTCTTGGAGTTTTCATTAGTTGAAGACATACTGAGGATGAAAAATGCATGTGTTAAACATTTATAATATCTAAATACACACCAAATAAATTCATAGTCTTCACAATTGATCATAATTAGTGGTCTAAACGTTTCTCTCCTGAACTCCTATCTGAACTCCTTTCATAAATCATATCCGAACTCCTAAACTATTATCTGAACCTATCTGAACTCCTGAACTGCTATCTGAACTCTTATTAAACGTCAATTTACAATACTGAACACCTATCTGAACTCTTTTCTGAACTGCTATCTGAACTCCTTTCTGAAATTATATCTGAACTCATAATGAACATCCTAGCTCCTATCTGAACTCCTATCTGAACTACTTTTTGAACTTCCTCAAATCTAAACAGCTATCTGAACTCCTGAACTCTTAATTGAACACCTGAACTCCTATCTGACCTTCTATCTAAACTTTTTGAACTCTTAAACTTCTGAATTCCCAATTGAAGATCTAAACTTCTATCTGAACTCCCATCTGATCTATTATCTAAACTCCTACTAAACTATTTCTCTCAAACAACCTTGTCTAAACCCCCAAGTATTATGTACTGTATAATTAAGACACTAGATAAACAAACCAAGGCCTGGGGTAAGCTAGAAAGCTTGGATGTTTATTTATAAATACAATATTTATAGGTTTTTATCCTGCACCACTTCTCCATAGCATCCTTAAACCCTCTCACGTACTTTATGGACTGCATCAAAAGTACAAACAACATAGATTGAGAGCTCCTAAAAATAACCAAATTTTATTATGTATATATTGTTACATATGTTTGTTTTGAACAAAGGATCTTTGACACTTAGCAAAGATAAAGGAACAATTAAAGGGACACTTAACATAGTTAAAGTAAATTTTAAAGGGGCACTTAACATAGTTAAAGTAACTTTTAAAGGGACACTTAACATAGTTAAAGTAACTTTTAAAGGTACATTTAAAATAGTTAAAGTAACTATTAAAGGGACACTTAACATAGTTAAAGTAACTTTTAAAGGGACACTTAACATAGTTAAAGTAACTTTTAAAGGGACACTTAACAAAGATAAAGGAACAATTAGAGGGACACTTAACATAGTTAAAGTAACTATTAAAGGCACATTTAAAATAGTTAAAGTAGATATTAAAGGGACACTTAACATAGTTAAAATAACTTTTAAAGGGACACTTAACATAGTTAAAGTAACTTTTAAAGGGGCACTTAACATAGTTAAAGTAACTTTTAAAGGGGCACTTAACATAGTTAAAGTAACTTTTAAAGGGACACTTAACATAGTTAAAGTAACTTTTAAAGGGACACTTAACATAGTTAAAGTTACTATTATAGGAACACTTAACATAGTTAAAGCAACTATTAAAGGGACACTTACCATTGTTAAAGTAACTATTAAAGGGACACTTAACATAGTTAAAGCAATTTTTAAAGGGACACTTAACAAAGTTAAAGTTACTATTATAGGAACACTTAACATAGTTAAAGCAACTATTAAAGGGACACTTAACATAGTTAAAGTAACTAGTATAGGAACACTTAACATAGTTAAAGTAACTAGTATAGGAACACTTAACATAGTTAAAGTAAATATTAAAGGGACACTTAACATAGTTAAAGTAACGTGTATGTGTGTTTAGGACGGCACTATTAGAATTGATTTTGTAAATGATGGAAAACGCCGGTATTCAAAGGTAACATTCATTATTTTAATATGTTAAAAAAAACTTTTTAAAAAAAAATATTTATCTTATTTATCTGAAATATTTTGTTTTCTCCAATTCTAAATAAATAATTCGTTACAAAAAAAAAATGAATATACAGTAAAACAGGTAAACTACATAAATGCAATAATTAAGTGTATTTGAAGTTGTTATATATGTAGTTATAAAAAAATAGCTTTTACTTGTGACTTATTTACTACATTGGAGTGTGTTTACACTACACAATTGCTGTGTTTCATACTCATTGGACTATTTAAAGTCATAACTTTAGTCTAAAAGTCGTCTCTCTATCCTAGAGTTTTCTGGTTCTCACCGTAGATTGGCGTAATTTACTGGTTCTATCAAAATAATAATTGAACCAAAATTTGGTTTACCAAATGTTTTAATAAATAATACAGAACTAGACGAATAAAATGGTCCATTGCAAACATTAATTACTACCGACCAAAGACTTTGCTATTTATAAAGACGAGGTGTTGGAAATTTATCCGACTATTGTGTTACTTTGGTTGCTTGAGAGTCTAACGATCGACTTTAAAACCTTAGATATTTAACACAATTGTGAATATTTTGTCCTAAAAATTAACTAAAATTAATTATATTAATTTGTATTTTAAATTTATTGGATCATTTGTTGGATATGAGGATCGTCTGGTGAATTAGAGCTGAATTAGCAAACCTTGCTATACCGAATATAATCTATGAACATATTGTTCTAAATCCATTGTACATTTAATATCTTGTCTATAGCGTACATAACCATCCCATGATCGTTCCTCTATGTAGTAAATTTTGTTTCAATAAAGTCTGAAATATGTCAATTTATAAATTTCTACAATTTAGATTTAAAAGTTGAAATTGAGTTTAAAGATTTATCACATTACTACCAGCTCATAGGTTATACAGAAGTTTATAAATGTAAAATGTTTAAAGGGACTGTAAGTTTATAAATGTAAAATGTTTAAAGGGACTGTAAGCGTAATTTTAAGTGACCCTCCAATGCTAAGATGACAATGCCCGAATTAAAAAAGTGTCCTTGAAACCTATATCTGATAAAAATATAACTCGGAAGTTTATTTCTTAGAGTTTCTCCGTTGATTCTAGTAAGCAAGAAATGCCCAAGTCACTTTCGATCGCAGAAAAACTGAAAATGAAAATAAACAGTTTGAAGTTCTTCAGATTACCAAAAGATCAAGATCAAGCATTGATTTCAATTTCCCATGATGGTCATACCCTGCAGGAATAACTAAAATGATTGTGGCCTTTCTCTCTTCCTGTGCCCCAAAGGAATTGAGTCTTTGCCACAAACTCTTATTTTCTAATCCCCATATCTTCGGATCCCAATGTCATAGACCTTAGATATTTCAAACTATAAATTCTGTTCCATAAAATAACATAAGTTTAAAATATCACAGGTTTCCACCATCAGATCGCAACGATATAGGGATTATAAAATAGGGAGTTAGTGGCGAAGACTCAGTTCTTTTGTCTAGTTAAGCCGATATAGCTATCATGGGCAATACCATTTCCACGTTTTAACCTCTAGTCAAATACTGAATAACATATTATCAAGATATTTCTAGAGTGCAGGATGGGGGGGAGCTGGTTGGCCTAGCGGTAGAAGAGGGGGGGGGGGCTAGGTTGGCCTACTACTGGGAAGAAGACCAAATCTATGAATACAGATAAGCTCTGATATAAATAGCATATCTGTACTTTATACAATATATATGCATGGTAGATATTCTTTTCTCTGTAAATGGGAGACATTCATGTATTCTATATTTTAAAGAACAGATAAAGAAGATGTTATTGATGTTATTGCTTTTCAAGAATCCACAAGTTATTTGAACTAAGTCCAAAATTTATGTATTCTTTATTTTTAAGAACAGATGAAGAAGATGTTATTGATGTTATGGCTTTTTAAGAATCCACAAGTTATTTGAACTGAGTCCAAAATTCATGTATTCTCTATTTTTAAGAACAGATTAAGAAGATGTTATTGATGTTATTGCTTTTCAAGAGTCCACAAGATATTTAAACTAAGTCCAAATTATCCCGTTATATAATAGACATTCAAAACACATTTGTTCTTGAATAAGAGGAGTTATAGCTGTGGACTTAAGATCGATAACATATGACTGAGAGTTCAATGTTACGTGGAATTACTTTATATTGCTTAAACATGAATATTTAGCTCTCCAAAAACCTAAAAGTGTCATGTTGTTTCAACCCGTGAAATTCCTTCAGTTTCTCATCATTTACTATCGACCAATCCTGAGATGAAATTTAAAGAATTTGAGCTGCGGTTTAAATCCGCCAAAACCCGGTTTAAATTAAGCGCCGGCATAAATCTTGAAACATTTGATACAATTTGAAGTAGAACCAACCATATTTAAGCCGCGGCTTAAATTTAAACCGCCGTTCAAATTCTTTAAATTCGGCCACTGATATCTATGAAAAAAGCTGCTGCTTTCGATTATATAAACTCGCGGATTATTTAGTTTTAAACTCAGGCGACGCATGCCGAGTTACAGCATACGCTTTAAGGAGGGAATTGTTAAAAATCTTACAGAGGGAAGCATAAAAAGTATCAATGTTGTGTATTTATTATATTTATATATGTATAGGACACACATAGTAATGATCAAAGACGGTTTTCTCATGAGATCAGAAAGGAAGCAAGACGACCCTCACACGCAGGTTTAGTATTTTAGGTTCTAATAGATCACGACCTGACTCCCGACGACCCTCTAAAGAACAAGAGAATGGAGAACCTAGGTTGACCTGGGTCGGATTCAATTCTTGATAGCTAGATTGTAACTTGTGAGGATATTGTTAATATAGGATGCCTGACCTCCATATCCAATACGGGATATTCAAGAGAAATTAAATTAATTTGTAGGTCCAAGATAGAGATCAATGATTCATCCGGAAATTCACATCATACAAATTTTTGTAATGTTTTTAAAATCTTGCACGATAGTTTTTTGAACAAAAAGATAGTTGAACGAAGATAATTATTTGACGCCGGGCACGTTTTGTATTTTTTTTTTGGTAAACACAACTTTAGATTTCGTCCCTGAGATAATGCACAAAAGTAGTTTTTAATGAAAGTACATGTGCTCGTGCACACATAAATTACAAAAATGATTTAAATCATCGTTAATTATTACTTTATTTTCTAATGATAAAGCTATGTAAACAGTCTGACCCTCTAAACCTATATGTAGATTTATGAGAATATTTTCCTAAGAAACTTACCCTGAGTTATTATCCTTATATCTTTGCAACTTAATGCCTATATAACGTTTGCTATTTCAAAATTACGATTCTTTTAGATCTTTTAGCCTAAGTTTTAAATATCAAGAGTTTACGCCATCAGATTTCTAAGATATAGAGATTAGAAAGTTTGAGTTTTTGGTACAAATTTTAAAAAAAATTCTGAATCTGACCCAGCTTGCTTAACAGAGCAGAATTGTATGCCCGACATAAAAACGGTCACAGGAGGGAGTCCTACCAACCTCATAGACCAGATAAAAACCTCAGGTGGCATATATTTTGTTGTTTGAGGGGAAAATATATATAAGTTAAAATTTGTTAATGGTGCACTTAACTCTACTTTAAACTGGGGTAAATAATGTTTTTTCAAAAGTTGTTTTTGCGTGCTAATAAGAATTCAAGTTAATTGTAAATCTCCACTTTATTGAAAATTAAAACAATGCTTTTTCTGTTTTCTCTCTTCAAAAAAAAGACAAAAAAATTCTTGGAAATATTAAGTGACGCATGATCTTAAAATTCCAGATTTTTTTTTTTGATAAAACTGTTCACTTTTTCGGATTTGAAAAAATTGTATTTACTTTTACTGTTTGCTGTAGAAATAAAGAATCATTGTAACCTGATGTCGTAGACCTTTGATATTTTAAACTTTCAATTCTCCTTGCTAAACAAATAGTCAAAATTTAAAATATCAAAGGTTTACTTCATAAGAAATTAAACGCTAGAGCGTTAAATTTGATTTTGAGTGTGAGCTTACAATTTTGCGCTTTTTTGTAAATTTTTAATTTTGTTTTAAATCTAATTCTTGATATTTAGAAGAAAATCTCACGCAGACCTTCTTGTTCCAACATCACAGTCAAGAAGATATTCACAGGTCTAAAAACAATTATTTAAAAATGTATAATAATATTTTCCTTATACACTGTTCTCACATTTTGTCCGCAATAAATTTGAAAGAATTTTGTACAAAATATACTATTTTTTGTTGTTGGAAAAGTGGTGTTGTTCCCAAAAAAAATAAGTTGAGCCTTTGCCACAAAATTTTATTTTCTAATCTCTAGATCAGTGCAAACCAATGTTGAAGACCTTAGCTATTTATAGCTATGAATTCTGTAAGTTCAAGTAAACTATTTGAATTATAAAATGTTTACACTTTTAGGTTGCAAAGATATATGGATTAGAAAATTTCAGTTTGTGTCAAAGACTCGATTAGAATAAAATTAAATTAATAAGGAAAATAAATTTTTGCTATTTTATAATTATCAATGCTTACATTGAATTCAAAAAGATAAATTATATTTTTTTATTTTCGTAAATAATCAAAAAACAACTTTAAAGTCAGTTTTTCAATACTTTTTGAAGAGAAATGTACACCGATTGATTTCATTAAATATATCTGTTCTAGCAGGTTGATGTTAATGTAAACGGTATCACGATATTTAACGAAGGACACATGTACAGCTCGCATAACAAGGTTGGTTACAAGTAGGGATCATTGAGGTTAGAGAACTCAGTGTATATATCTCTTGAATGTTATGTAAAAAGCTGTAAAATGTGATCTTCCGCTAGTGTGCTGCTGTGAACTCAGTACGTATTATGTCACAGTTATTTCTGGAAAATCTAGAATATTTTATGCCCTACGCGGTTTTCAAAAATCTAAATACAATTATTTCTATTCTGCCACTTCTAAAAACTAAATTTTAATATAAATTATATTTAAAAATTATTACAAACAAAGTGCCTAAAACAATTTCGAGCGTTTCTGTAAAATGATCTGAAAATGTCTGTCAAAGGTTTAAATGATGCTGTTAATAATCAGGGTTTCCCCTCTTTAAATAGAAGATTCCTTAAAAGTTAAAATTGGTTTACATTGAAAAGTTGGTAAAATTTTGCATTTAACAAAAACAATATTTTTAAATTTAGGAACGTAGAGTAAGATCAAAAGAAACAGTGAGAGAAGAAAGAAGAGGTTCCAGGGACCGGGTGTTTAAAGAGGAAGAGGGAAGAAGAAATTCCCGGGACCAGTTAATTGATGGAGGTGAAAGAAGAGGTTCCAGGGACCTTAGAAATTCAAGGTAGTTTAGCCCATTTAAACATCATCCACAAACATTTTTGCTTTAATAAACTGAAGACCACGCACGGCCATTTCCATAAATAGTAAATAACAAATCTCCGTAAAAACTGAACTCTTCAGCTTGTGTTCCCGGAATAATTAAAAAATTAAAAATTCTGGACAGTATTATTATTAAAACAGGAAAAGGAATTGATTACTCCAACTGTCTAACCCCTAAATATCTTTTAAATTCCTAATGTTGTGAACATTTGATGTTTGAAGCTTTAATTTTTGATTGTGACAATTGAAAACAACGATGTTGATTTATTTGTGAAAGAACAAGTCCATTTAAAATTGTCCTAGGGATCATCTACATGCATCCAAGGAGCAGCTAAAAGAATCTCTTAAAGCAACGGTGCTTTTGGATCCATATCAGAAAAGTGGATCAAGGCATGGATCAAGCGAAAAGCTGCTTGGATCAATGCAACCAAAAATAATGGTAAATATCATAAACATTGTTTAAAGAACACCTCAATTAAATGTCAAGTTATTAAGAAACAAGAAAAATCTATAGTACGAATGTTAAAAATTCCTTTTTCGTATTTATTTTTTTATTCATAAATTTAGAATCCTTCTCTTCATACAGAGTAAAAAAAGTCGGCGTTAGTTCCACATTTCAAAAAATGTTTTGGGTCTGGGTTGGCCCTCTTTTATTCAGCTAAATCTTAAAAAAAATTTTCTGTCATAAAGAATCAAAATAAAAAAATTACTTGCCGAAGTACCTGGCGTTGCCCGTTGGATTAAAAAAACTTGTTTTGTCAGCCAATTTTGCCAGCTATGAGCAATATTATTTAGATTTAATATCAACAAAAAAAAGAATTCGCGGATTTTTCCGTTTTCATTGGAAGATTTCCAATATATGAATAAATAGGATGAGTTTGATACCGGAAACGAGAATACAGATACGGAATCAAGCCTGAGTAAACCAGACAGAGAGGTTTCACACCAAGAGCAAACATATTCAGGAGTATATTCAGGAATATATTCATCTCTATTTTTACATTTTCATTTTGTTTAGAAGCCTTACAGCTACAGGTGAAGTTATTTTTCAAGCTAAATATGAACAGTTATAATTTTTCATCTTAAAAGAATTTTTAAAAATACATCTTTCTTGCATTCATACATTTAAACTCACTTTTCAAATGCAAAATCTACAGTAGCCATAAATTAAAAATGTTTGATAGAACATATGACGTATATGTGACATATAAGACACTATATGAAAATACTTTTACTGTATTTTACCTTCAAATAATATCCATATATTAGTGTTTACATTCATGTTTTTTATATGTATCTTAACTCTGTTTATTAAAGAAGAACAAAAGCGGTTTAAATTTCAAATGTGTAACCACTGCCGCTTTAGTAATTGTAAATTGGTGGTACAGTCCAAACCAGGATCGTAAAGGTTGGCCCAGCTCGAATATTAGAAATGTACACTGGTTGTATTTGGTATATTCATATATATAAATATTGGTGGTCCAGTCCAAACTAGGATCGTAAAGGTTGGCCCAGCTCGAATATTAGAAATGTACACTGGTTGTATTTGGTATATTCATATATATAAATATTGGTGGTCCAGTCCAAACTAGGATCGTAAAGGTGGGCCCAGCTCGAATATTAAAAATGTACACTTGTTGTATTTGATATATTCATATATATAAATATTTTTAAAGACTGGGTTGGTAAATAGATGACTTAAATAATCTTCTTTTTATTCTTTTCGTTAAACACTTCTAAAAATGTATTAAATTATTTAAACACTTTTAAAAACTCTAACAATCTACAAAATGATGATCAAGTTTGATAATTAATCTGGCGTGATAGGTACTATTAAAATTGTATTATATCTAAATATTCAGTAAACTTTTATTTTCTATATTTAAAAATGCTGTAAACCTTTACATTACTTTTTCTTGGCAAAGTTGATTATTTAAATGTTAATGAGGAAAGTTTTGGTTGTTTAGAAAACATTGTTTTTTTTCCGGCAAATAAAAACAGTTTAATTTAATTTTTCTCAGAGTTTTGAATTATGGATCCATTCAGTCTTTTGCCCTTTCCAAAGCTGTTAAAAATACAAATTACGAACAACTTTTGGAATTTAAGAAAGGTCCCTTTCTTAACTGAACTAATTAGAGGTAAAGATTTGGGGCTGGACACGTTCCAACTATTTCTAGCTGTTTGTTAATGATTAGTTCCAATCGTTAAAACAGACAAATTTCAGGTAGCTGTTAGCTTTACAGATAACAACGGAACGTTTGTTTTGATTTTAAAAGTTACCGTTAGTTAACGATCTCATTTTTATCAATAGAATGAAAGGAAGATATTCTACAGTTAATGCTTGTTTTTTTTGCAATTAACGGCAAAAGCAGTTCAAAAAATGCGGGGAAAAAAATCTTTAACGGTTTGTCAAATTGTTACCGATGCAAGCCGTTTCAGATTGTTATTAATGGTGATAACGGTTTGCCAAAGCTACAAAATTTCCATTAAAAAAATCATTAATAGTTTATCAAATTGGATTTAAGGCTCAAGCCGTCACGTCGCCGTTTTCGTTTTCAACTGTTAATGTTTTTTCAAAAAACGGCAAAACCGTTCCATTTGTAATTTTAAAATTTACGGCTTTTGCCGTTAGTTAACGGACTATTCCGTTAACTTTCGAAAACCTCCGTTATGTTAACGGAACTTTGCTCAGCCCTACTAAATATAACTCTAAATGGTGTATGTATAGATAAAGTTTTTAAACCGAATTGATTTAAATAAAAAACACATCTAAAACCCCATTTTACATGTCTGAAGAGTTGCGTACTTTAAAAAGCACGAATATAAATAATACAAATTCCTTTAAAAATTTACTTTCGAAGCACGAATATAAATAATACAAATTCCTTTAAAAATTCACTTTCGAAGCACGAATATAAATAATACAAATTCCTTTTAAAAATTCACTTTCAAAGCACGAATATAAATAATACAAATTCCTTTAAAAAATTCACTTTCAAAGCACGAATATGAATAATACAAATTCCTTTTAAAAATTCACTTTCAAAGCACGAATATAAATAATACAAATTCCTTTAAAAAATTCACTTTCAAAGCACGAATATAAATAATACAAATTCCTTTTAAAAATTCACTTTCAAAGCACGAATATAAATAATACAAATTCCTTTTAAAAATTCACTTTCAAAGCACGAATATAAATAATACAAATTCCTTTAAAAAATCACTTTCGAAGAACGAATATAAATAATACAAATTCCTTTAAAAAATTCACTTTCAAAGCACGAATATAAATAATACAAATTCCTTTAAAAATTCACTTTCGAAGCACGAATATAAATAATACAAATTCCTTTAAAAAATTCACTTTCAAAGCACGAATATAAATAATACAAATTCCTTTAAAAAAATTCACTTTCAAAGCACGAATATAAATAATACAAATTCCTTTAAAAAATTCACTTTCAAAGCACGAATATAAATAATACAAATTCCTTTAAAAAATTCACTTTCAAAGCACGAATATAAATAATACAAATTCCTTTTAAAAATTCACTTTCAAAGCACGAATATAAATAATACAAATTCCTTTTAAAAAAGCTGGATTTTCGGTATGCAACATTTGTCATTGAATGCCACAATATTTTTATGATTTTAGAATTTTTAGGTTTTTTTTTCTCTATAATTTAGATAAACCGTCCTTAATGGACTCCTAAATTTCTCTGCTTGAGTAGTAAAGTATCCTCTGTAATCTTGCCAACCTACATGTATTGCATAAAACGTGAGGAGTCGACTTTACATCGAGTGGTACAGACAGGATGCGTGTATCAGCTCAGATCATGCAACTGTTGAGTGTGTATCAGGTTAGCCATGCAATCTACGTACTTGCATTATAAGTTTATAAACTCAATCTCAACCTGGCTTCTTTCATCTCAAGGTGAACATAAGAGATTTCGTTTCAGAGAAAAAATCCAATTTAAAAATAAAACCGAATTTTTAGAATCCCAGAAAATCTATTAACCATTGATAGGGATGTAAGTCGTTTTTTCCCTAAACTTAAAAATGACTTACATTTGAGCTAAGATTAATCCTTGTGGTTTTTAAAGATATTTTATAAACTAAAATACTTGGCTCCATGAAAACGCTCGAAATTTGATTAGAAAAAATCTTTAAAGTTTAGTCTTTAAAAAAAGGCATACTGAAGACCAAATCCACTGAATTTTCTGAATATTTTATAAAAGACAACTTTTCAGAACATTGTAATCCAAATATTTTATATTTTAAGAAAATATTTAATTTTGACAAATAACATATATAAGCTAAAATAATGACATCAAATATGATATTTATTTCATTTTGATTTCATTCCTTACTTTTTAATAAAAATTACCTAACATCTGTAGCATATCAGAATTATAACAAAAATGACCCCAAAAAATCCAAAAAATCCAAAGAAATAAAGAAAAGTTCTCTTAATCCCAGCTCTTGAAAATACAGATGCTTTTATTTTCTGACACGCATAAATAATTCACGAGCATCAGACCTGGTAAATATTTTATTGAGTTCTCACAGAAAACTTGTCAATATATTTCATAAAAAAATTTAAATATTAAGGTGGATCGGATTTGGTAAGGAAATGATTACTTTGCTTAACATATAAATAAATTTCTAATCCTTATATCTTTGCAACCTGATTGGAAATATTAAAGGTTTATACCATCAGGTTGCAAAAGTGAAGGATGAGAAAATTAGACCTTAAAGCGAATTATCAGTAACTTTGGTTTTCAGCTATTTTGCGACGATCAAAAAATAAATTTAAGAAAATAAATTTTTTAAAAACATTTTTATCTTGAAGGTTTTTAACAGTGGTTTTCTTTAAACTGAAGAAAGTTGAATGCAAGCCAAGTAAAACTTAGCATTTTTCTTGAGATAAAGACGAAGAATTGTTCAAAATGTCAGCTATCCAGGACAATCAGAAACCTAGGGGAGGGGGTAAACCCCCCCCCTCAGTGTGGTATTTTAAGGGGTCATGGGAAGGAGGATGTTTTTTTTGTCACAATACTCCTCTTAAAATGCATTTATCTTGTGTTTCATGTTGAGAATGGACAAAATGATTATATTCTGATATTTTTTTTTCATTTACAAACATTGTATGAATTGTATCTAACATTGATTTATAATGATTTCAATTAATAATTAATTTTCCCGTTCATATATTTATCCTTGAATGGATCCTGTAAACCCGCAATATATTTAGGTGTCGTCTTTGTAACAGTGAGTATATTAGAAGAAAAACATTTTATAGCAAAAGCTCAAGAAAGCACAGCGGTTTCGGGATAATCTAAATATATAAATAGATTCTAGTAGCCATATTGTAAAGATTTAGGGGCTCCAGCAGCAGCACCCCAAATCCTTTAGTCAGAGTGGCATGTTGAAAAATCCTATTTTAAGAGTCTTCGATGAACATTTAAGAACCTTCTTTCACTAAAGAATTCTTAAGCGGCCAAGCCAATTATTTGACATAAATGAGAGGTTTATGGAATAAATTCATTTTCGCAGACCCTCCCCTAATACCCCACTGTGCCCCCCCCTTAAAAACTAAAAAACTTAGGTTTGCTTCTATTATTATTTGAATTTAATAATTTTTCATTTCAAAAGATTTCATTGATAATTTATTTATACGTCCATATCACGTGACCAGAACTCCCAACAATGGTAGTGCAGTATACTGGTCACGTGATACAAATGGAGTCACACGTGATATTGATACTTCACTGTCATTGGTGGTAGTTCTGGTCACATGGTGATACGGACATATTTTTAATATTATCAATTATATATATTAAAAATGAAAAATTATTAAATTCAAATAATAATAGGAAAAAAACTTAAGTTTCTTAGGCTCCTCTGGGATATCGTCGTTTTCAGATTGGTTGCTTATTTGCTAAATATGATCTGTTTAAACCTACAATTTTTATACAAAATTTTATATATATAAATTTTCGTATAATTTTGACACAGTTTCATATCAATTTATCGAAGCAGATCAACTCCTAAAAGGCTTAGATTTCAGCCTATACCCTCTTTCATTTTTCCTTTACAGTCCCTCTAAAGACCTAAGAGTTATGTACTAGATACATATATGTACTAGATAGTACTAGATAAAGTACTTTCAACAATTAAAGCAAAATGGTTTGATTGTTATTGGATATTGTAATGAACAATTTATAATTATAAACGACATGATTGATTAAGAAAATCGATTATAATGTTAAATATTTAAGCTAAATTACGCGTACAATTCCTTTAATTATTTAAGATAAATTACGCGTACACTCCCTTTAATTATTTAAGTTTTTCCTTACTTGCTACAGGACATAAATTATATTTTAACGGATATATGTTTTAATCAATATATATTTTCATCTTTCTATTTATATACATATATACATATATACAAATATATCTATAGATATTTTTATCTATCTGTTTATATTTCAATATATCTCTTATTCTACATAAATCATCTTAAAATTTGTTCATCTCTACAATTGAAAAATATATTATTTTACTAAAAAGTTCTTCTAATAAGAAATTCGAAATTTTACAATTTTGTTAATCAAAATCATTTTAAAAATAATATGAAACATTTTATTCATTATTTTATGTGTCAAGATCTTATGGTTTATTGAATAATAAACATTTTTGAAAAGGGATTTCTTTTAATGCTTCTAATTTTTATAATTCTACTCTTTAATGATTCTACTTTTTATAATTCTACTTTTTATGATTCTACTTCTGATAATTCTACCTTTTATAAATTCTACTTTTTATAATTTTACTTTTAGATTTCTACTTTATGAAATTCTACTTTCAGAATTCTACTAATTATAATTCTATTTTTAAAAATTTTACTTTTAGCATTTTATTAACTATTATTCCACCATATGAAATTTTACTTTTATTTTACTTTTTCGAATTCTATTTTTTCAATTATACTATTCATAATTTTACTTTTTATAATTCTACTTTATCTAATTTTATCTTTTATAAATCCAATTTTTAAAATTATACTTGTGAAAATTATACCATTCGTAATTCTACTTTTTATAAATCTACTTTATCTAATTCTACCTTTTAAAATTCTACGTTTCAAAATTCTACTTTTTACAATTCTACTTTTTAAAATTTTACTTTTTATAATTCTAATTTCTATAATTCTACTTTTTATAATTCTACTTTTATGATTTTGCTATTTATGTGACATTCTTATTTTTAATAATTCTACTTTTTGAAATTCTGTTTTCATTTAAATTCTACTTTTTTAACGTGAGCCCTCCCTTCATAACCCGACAAAGTACATGTCTCCTTTTATATTAGTTTTTATATTTTTATTTACGACTGTTTTGACCTATCAAACGGCCTTGAACTTGCAGCAACAATTTTAAACCCCTCAGACCGGTTGGAATTATATTGTCATAGAGCGTGTAGAAATTCAAAACACGTATCTTGTATGATAGGTAGGGACCAGGGACCAGCAAAACATATTTGAAAAAATTGTCATTGTTCCAATATTTGTAAAACTTGTTTTGTCAACCTTTAAAATGTAAAAAAAAACTTAATTGTAAGTTTTTATAAAAACAAAAAATCTTTCACTTAGATTATCATAAACTGTTAATTGTTCTAGTATTCAAATTTTGATTGTTTGCAAAAAAAAAGTATTATATTATGATTGCAAAGTGTACTGTAATAAGATTGCAATGTTTATCATACTATGATTACAACGTGTTCTATACTTTGATTACAAAGTGTACTGTACCATGATTTTAAAGTGTACAATACTATAATCGCAAAGTATACTAGGATTTCAAAGCGACTTTACTATGATTGTAAAGTATACTATACTATGATTACAAAGTGAACCATACTATGATTACATAGTGTACTATATTTTGATTACAAAGTGTACTTTAATATGATTGCAAGGTGTACTGTACTAGGATTTCAAAGTGTACTATACTATTATTGTAAAGTGTACTATATTATGATTGCAAAGTGTACTTGATTACTATGATTGTAAAGTGTACTATATTATGATTGCAAAGTGTACTGAACTATGATTTAAAGTGTACAACGCTATAATTGCTACACTATGCTTTTAATTTTGTACTTGAGATATGATTGCATTTATTTAGCATCATTCCACTGTACTAGGGTTGCATAGTTACAATATTATAATTGCAAATTGTTTTGTACTATTATTGCAAAGTGTACAAAACTAGGACTGTAAGGTCTACTAATACTATGATTGTAACACTTTGATTGCAATATTGTACAATGATAACAATATTTAACTATGATAGTAATATTGCACAATGAAAACAATATTTAACAATGATAGCAATATTGTACAATAATAACAATATTTAACTATGATAGTAATATTGCACAATGAAAACAATATTTAACTATGATAGCAATATTGTACAATGATAACAATATTTAACAATGATACTAATATTGTACAATGATAACAATAGTTAACTATGATAGCAATATTGTACAATGATAACAATATTTAACTATGATAGTAATATTGTACAATGATAGCAATATTTAACTATGATAGTAATATTGTACAACGATAGCAATATTGAACTATGATAGCAATATTGTACAATGATAGCAATATTGAACTATGATAGCAATATTGTACTATGATAACAATAGTTAACTATGATAGCAATATTGTACAATGATAACAATATTTAACTATGATAGTAATATTGTACAATGATAGCAATATTTAACAATGATACTAATATTGTACAATGATAACAATATTTAACTATGATAGCAATATTGAACTATGATAGCAATATTGTACAATGATAGCAATATTTAACTATGATATCAATATTGTACAATGATAGCAATATTGTACTGTGATTGCAATTTACTATGAATATAAGGTATGAGTGAACCGGGAACTCCATAAATATATATATTTTATCTGTTTAATCTTCTATCTTGATACCCAGGTCCTGTCAAGTTCTATATTTGTATAGTTCATGTGACAATATTCAATAGTATCCTAGAACCCATAGTCAATCAGTCATAACGTTGTCTATTCATCTATTCAATCATTTTTCGTGGATTATTTGTGTATTTATGCTTTAGATGATTATTCATCAAATCATTAATTTTTCGTGTTTAATGCTTTACATATGACTTCAATTTTGTCATTCCCTGTTCAGATTTTATCTAAAATGATGAATTCATTTATTTATTCTTTTTTTACATCCTTTCAAATTTTAAAACATTCTTTTTTAAATCATATTTTTCTAGTTTATTTATCTTTTCAATTTGATGTCGTGAACCTTTCACATTTAAAACTTTTACTATTCGTTCTCGTATAGCAGAATTCATTGTTAGCAATATCAGATTAATTCTTTTTCTTTTTTTCTTTTTATTCAAATGTAGAAATTATTCATTCTTTACGTTATTGACAGTTAAATTCAATTCATGAAAAGTCAATATGTTTATAATTGTATAAATGTTAAGCTTTGAATCTTTTACAATATTTAATTTCTAAAAAATTTACTTTCACTAGAAAAAAACATTATTATCATGATTATTATTATTATTATTATTATTATTATTATTATTATTATTATTATTATTATTATTTTTATATTATTGTAAATATTTTAAAAAGTTGAATATTTGGATTTAGAAGATGACAGTGGACAGCACGGCAACAATATTAGGTACAGATTTACAATAACTGTCAACTATTTTAAACTTAAATTTTCCTCAAAATCTGATAAATGAAAATTAGATTCTTTGCCCTAGTAACACTAGAGAGATATCATCGTTTTCCTTTCTGGAAAAGTATTGAATTCGGACAGTTTCATATTTTGTTTCTGCTTTAACCCTATTCCGGCTGTGGAATGGGGGGGGGGGGCGTGTTGTTTGGACACTAAACAAGTATTCGTCTGAGGCAGTTCAAATTTGTTGACTTTACTAACAAACACAAGCCCCTCACTTTAGATATAAAGCCAGACAAAATCTATATTTAGACCCAGTCCAGTCATTGGATTTTAACATTGTAAAGCTTATTAAAGAGCTGTTAACAAAAGGAACTAGATTGCACAATTTTGCGAATAAATTTTGCATAGATTTACAGGGAATTTGCACATTTTCAGTTTTCCTTCAATACACATTCAGTTTTTAAAAAATTTGCAAATATTCTTGTATATTTAAATTTGCTAGATCAAGGGTTTTTCGAAGATTTACAATTTACAATATTTGCGCACTTTTTATTTTTACACATTTTTTGTTAAATACATTAATTTTGCAATATATATTTAAAATTTTGCAAATTTTGAAATTTTTTTTTGCAGACAAGACTATTTTTTTACTTAAAAAATTTGAGATAGATTGGTGGCCGCTTACCTACAAAATAATTTTCATAGTTTTCGTTTTAGAATAGGATTTAAAAATCCGCATATTCTCTACTGAAACTGATTCAAATTTTCCGTAAATAATGAAACCGCTGCTGAACTTACTTTTAGAGAAATAAATCATCCCACAAGTAACTTAGACTGTCTTTATAAATCAGAAATACTGATCATGAAGTTCGGTTAATTGCAAAAATATCTTAACATTCTCCTTAATGAATTTTTAATATTTACTGAAAATACAAGTTTATACACCCAATAAGGAAATTAACAAAAGGAAGTGAATTCCAGCATGTTTAATTTGGACTGTTTATTTTTTTTATTAAGACTACATAAATACACGATTTTTGGAATACAGAAATAAATCACATTACTGAATATCCAATAATATCTAATATCCAAAAAAAAAACGATAGCGTCGATCGAGAAAAGATTTATTTCAAGAAACTGGCTATATTTCTCTATTAATTTCAATAAACTGGCTATATTTCTCTATTTATTTCAAGAAACTGGCTATATTTCTCTATTTATTTCAATAACCTGGCTATATTTTTCTATTTATTTCAAGAAACTGGCTATAGTTCTTTATCTGTTTCAAGACACTTGCTATATTTCTCTATTTATTTCAAGAAACTGCCTATATTTCTCTATTTATTTCAAGACACTGGCTATATTTCTCAATTTGTTTTAAGAAACTGGCTATATATCTATTTATTTAAAGAAACTGGATATATTTCTCTATTTATTTCAAGACACTGGCTATATTTCTCAATTTATTTTAAGAAACTGGTTATATTTCTCTATTTATTTCAAGAAACTGACTATATTTCTCTATTTATTTCAAGAAACTGGTTATATTACTCTATTTATTTCAAGAAACTGGCTATATTTCTCTATTTATTTCAAGAAACTGGCTATATTTCTCTATTTATTTCAAGAAACTGGCTATATTTCTCTATTAATTTCAATAAACTGGCTATATTTCTCTATTTATTTCAAGAAACTGGCTATATTTCTCTATT